TGGGAGACGCGTCGAAGCGCAACGCGCATGTGGCGACGTTGGAAGTGTAAACGCGTTCATCGTCGTGTTCTGGCGACATCAGAGTGAATAAGACGTTATGTCGCGATACGTTTGCTGTGTAATTGTTATTTGTGATGAAAGTGTTGAGAAGGTGAAAGAAGGAAGCACTGGAGAAGACGCGTGGCACGGCCGTGGTGCGAGAAGCGCGCTAGCGCGCTCGGTCACCCAACAATCCCGTGATTCATGAGATCCCAACAGGAACAATCCACAGCAGCCTGACTGAGCCAAGACCGCCGCGCAACCTGCGATGAAGCTGCTCTTCCGAGTCGCGCATATTCTGCTCGTACTCGTACTCTCTTCTCTGCTGATATACAGCGTCTATTACGCGTTCGCGCTTCTAGCGGAAGACCAGCACCACAGCTCGTCGCAGCCAGTGCAAGCCGATTTCGAATTGGACACCGACGACGTATCTCGCAAGCCATCACCACAGGAAATAGTATGTATCTTCAAATGGCCGCATCGAGATGGTCGCGTACTGACGTTACACAGGCTGCATCGATGAACACATTGTGGGACTACCTGGATGACTGGGATGAAGAGCATTGCAAGAATGTCTGCGAGGCTTCTTGGGTCGCCTGCCGACTGAGGAATTGCTATCACCTGCCGGATGTCAGGAAGCAAGAGCTTTGAAGAGAAACGTCGTCAATACATGGCCCGCGAACAACAGTCGTGTGGGGTTGTGAGGTACCTGGAGACGAAGGTCTAATGCCGGAGTGCCCCACACCCTTCATCAATATGGCTAAGAAGGAGACCACAACCCCAGAGTACGGGAAGCGCATGCATCACTACTATTCGCCCATGGGATCCAGCAACGCGGGCATATGTTTCGCGAGGATTTCTACAGCCTGCAGCAGTACTGGGTCTCAGCAGAGTTTAAAGGAGTCAAAGAACCTCGCTCTGGCCACAGCACCGTCATCATTCCCACCATGGTTCATCTCCTCATTGCCCTAGCCACGATGGCAACGTCTGCCATGGCCTTCGACTGCACCCGCGAATATCTCCAGAACACAGCAGACTCCTACGTCGACCTAATGGCAACCGGCCAACACGACCGATTCGAAAACATCGCCTACACGATGAAATACTTTGAAAACAACCAAACCGCCTCACTCCTAAACGGCGTACCAGCCTCCGGTCTAATCATTGACACCCATCGCTCCATCCTCGATACCACACAATGCAAAACAATGACCGAGCTCATCGTGACCGACACCAAGCACCCATACGTCATACACACGCAAATGACCCTAGACCCCGAAGGCAACGTAAACCTCATCGACAGCATCGTGACCGACAAAGGCGACTGGGCCTTCAACGCAACCGGCACCTCCTACTGGAACAGCCAGGAAACCTGGAGCCCCATCCCCGAATCCACCCGCGACACCCGCGACACCATCAAAGCAGCCGGCGAAGCCTACGCCGACCGCTGCAACGACGTCTCCGTCCACGTCCCCTTCGGCACGCCCTGCGCCCGTCTCGAAGGCGGCGCGTATACCGGCCGTGGCAACCTCTCTGCGAATACATGCGATATCGGTGGGCTGCCGGAACATATCCCTATGACTAACCGCAAGTATGTTGTTGATGAGGTGATGGGTGTTGTGGACATCTTCATGGGGTTTACGGGGCTGGATCGCACGAGGAATACCGAGGGGACGCCGGATAGTCATATGTTTCGGGTTGAAGGGGGGAGGATTAGGTATATTCATACGGCGAGTGCGTGTTTTGTTGATGGGTGTGGGATGAATGGTACAGGTAGGTTGATGGGTTTGAAGTGTTGTTGATTCGTGCGCTGACGTGTTGATAGGTATTCCGCTTGGTCTTGGACGTCGGACGTTACGTCAGCGGGGTATCAAGCTTCAGTAGCTTACATGTGGTATAGCCGATCGTTGCAAGCTCGTTGTTTGAGGTCGAACGTGACCGATGTTAAAGATGGTGCCGGCATTAATTCATCGGGACTACCAAGCAATGCCACTCTACTAGACACTGCTGCACAATCACTAGCAGTCCGTTCCTTCTCTTGTCTCAACACCCGGGCGATCTAGTAACCTCAGTCGGGCATCACAACCCTCTCTTCAATCCCAGTTAACCCTCACTTTCACTTCAGGATGATCCTCCAACCACTCTTCCACATCCCCCTCATCAACGACCAACCCAGGATGCATCTTCATGGCATCAATAAGCACATCCCTAATCCCCTTATCATCATCCAGCGTGGACGTGAACGCCTCTTCCAGCGCATCAGCCAAGTCCAGACCCTCATACTGCCAGTACACATGCAGAACATCCATGACTCCCTGGCGTGCGAAGGTCTTCAGGTCGTGCATGTCGAAGTAGTCGGCAACCGTATAGATGCGTACGTGCTTGAGGAGGTGCGAAGCCGATAGCGTCTTGCCGGCACAAGGACATTTGCGCTTGAAGATCTGGGGGGCTGTAGGGGGACCGTGCAACAAGGCGTAGGTGCTGTGGTTGCAGTAGGCTGTGGGGTGGACAGTCTCGCCGCCGGGGAACTGGTATGTTGATGTGTACATGTAGTCTAGGATATGCTTCATGGTAACCGTGTCGACGTCAGGGATTTGTACTTCTCGGCTGTTTGTTTCCTGCATTCTGTCAGTATGACATGTATGTCGATGTGGTTGCTAATACTCACACTACCGTTGAAGCGAAACATACGCGCAAAGTACGGCGACGAGGCTTCCAGGATGCTCTTATGGGTGATGAAATGCTGGCCTTCGCAGATGATGGTGAAGTCTGAGGTCTCGTCATTAAGTGCTAGCTTTGTCTCTTTGGTCTTGGGCTTGAATGGTGTTGGAGGAGCTTGATTCTCTTTATCGAAGACCTGAGATGCTTTGATCTGCGGCGTCTTGGGGACGACCTTGCGGATGGTGGTCGCTTCGGTGGGGAGATCCATGGCTTTGATGTGATCCAGGATCAGAATGGTTGTTGATCAACACGGGTATTGGCAGTGGGTGATGTGTGACCAGATTCGTCACGAGAACCACGAGCTCACATGGAAAGGCAGTGCTGGTCGCAGGTTGTTTGGTATCGCTGGCTACTGTCGCCTAGAGCGGGTGGGGAGTCGCTCGCGCAGCCGGTCTCATCCCAGCTTCACGCGTTAAAATCGATGACGTTACCACGGCGATAATCGAATTGCCTGCGGAGAGCAGGCAGCGATCACTTTCCGCTCATTGATCTGTGATGGTGATGGTGAGCGTGAAGATGACACAAGGCAAACATGTGGCGCTGAAGAGATCAGCCCGCCTCTAGTAAGCTTTACAGGGATGGAGAGCGCGGCGATGTGCGCACCCGCGTCGATGACGCGCATGCACGTGTTGTGAATTCAGTGTATTGTCGTTTTCACATATTTGTTAAAGTGATGACTGGCTGTTGATTGTGAGTGATGTCGTAGTCTTATGATGGTTACTTGCTTGAAAGCTGAAGGACTCTTAGGGCTGAGAACGAAATCACACAATTTGAATAGAAAGATATGCGTTATATCTTCTATTTGATGCAGCTTCAATACTTCCAGCGTGAGTGTCGGAAAGGTCAGTCTTGACGGCGAAAAGATATCGCGTTTGACTACCATTGTGACGTCATCGCGACTACCTCAACTACGCCAGCGGAACTTCGCCGATGGAAATCGTCAGTCTGCCGATGGAAATCATGCGAAGCCCATTCGTCAAATAGATCAGCACCGCTGTTAGCAACAACCCCCAAGCACACCTGAACATCTTTCCTCCCCGCCTCAGCCCATAAGAAACAAGCATCGTGATGACACCAGCCATTACGACAAACTCCAACGTCTTCATCAGGATCAAGCTGCTGCCAAAAAAGAGATAAGCGTCCCAATCGAAGATTACCATAGCCATCCTAAGCCACGCAGCAGCCCTCACGAGCACGAGCTTGTCCAGATGCTCTGGGTGTCGTCTCATAGCGACATGACCACTCATGTCGGTCGCGATGCACAGGGCCTGGACGACCACACGCATTGCGGTCTTGGACAAGTGAGCCCTGCAATCTGTACCCAGCAAAGCCGAGAGGAACACCATCTCAATGGGAGCGCCATAGAAGTCATCCAGCCCGATCAGAAGGCCTTTTGAAAACAAAAGCAAGCTCAACCCCAACAAAGATACCAAGACTAGCTTCATGTAATACAGCCAGAAAGAGAATGCGTCTGCCCATGTCAATTCTCGTGCGAAGAAGGCATATGAAAGTAGAGCCATCTTCTGTTCGTCATTTTGTGTGTGTAACCGTCCTAGCAGGGGTATGTTGGCGACTTGCGGGCTCGCGAGTACAGATCCAACGAGCAGTGCGTGGTCGACTAGTGCTTGGGTGTAGCAATTCGACAAGAGATGGCACGTGATGTAGTTCATCGGGCTTCCGTATGTTACGGCGAGGGGGGCCGAGCAGAGAGAGCAGGTTGTCATGTTGAGCTTCAGAGTCGTGATCTTTAGACACTCGCTGCCAATGAGGTGGCCGCAGGGTAAGAGTCTTACGGCCTTGCATGGGAACTCGTTCGGGTCGTCTTTGTTGTCGACGGCGTTGAACGGACGCATGCATACGTAGCATTCGTCTTCTGGGTCGGGCGACTCGACGTCTTCTGTTTTGTATGTTCTTAGTGCGGCTGTGATGCCATAGATTGGCTGAGAGGATGCCATTGCGACTTAAGTGATACTGAGGGATAGCTGGTTGTGAAGTGGTTTGATAAGTTGTGATCTGATGCCAGTAGTTGTATCGAAGGCTTCGTGTTATGGTGGCATTCACGTGCAGTGTACTGATAGGCAAGAGTTAGCGAACTGAGTGAAACCGGTAACGAATAGTCACAACGTTTTCTATCCACGGTCTGCACCCTTTTAATGCTAAGCAGTAAGATACTTGCGACCAGCATGATCCAAACCATCATGTTTGCTGCTTTGCAGGACGCAACATAAGCTATCACATCGTTAGCCCCGCTTCCTGAAGAACCTCAGACAAAACAAACTTACAATAAACTCCATCTTGTCCTCTCCACTCCACCTCCTCAGATCCAATTCCACCGTCTTCACAGCTTGGAACCCATGTCTTGCATACATGGGCGCACCCATGGGACTCGCTTCAAGGAACGCCTCAACACCAACCTCATCCGCCTTCTCACAGCCCCATCGCACTAGCATACTCCCCGCTCCCCTCCTTCCATGTTGCGGCAATGTAACCAGTGTGTCTAAGACATAGTATGGCCTCTTCCCCAGAATCTCCCGCTTGTTCGAGTTGAACAATTTGAAGAGTTCCGCGAACATATCCGGGTCACTCTCTTCGTATGGTGGTGGGACGGTGAGACCGGCATCGACTTCTTCCCAAGTACGCTCTTTCGCGCCGTCTTCTTTGGGCTTGACGTAGCGCCAACGTGCGCCTGCGATCATCTCATTGGTAGAGGTGTCGACGCACTTGACGTAGAGTATGCCCTTGTTGGTTATGCCATCGCGGATATCTTCCGTCACTTTGTCCAGGGTTTCCTGAGATGGCTCGCGGCGGGCATAGAGGATCTTGTTGACGGTGGGTCGGAAGACTTCGTGACGTATGCGCATGTATTGTTCTGCTTCTTCGGGCATGAGAAGCGAGACTGTGAGGTTCGGGTCTGGCATGTTGATGGTTGGAACACTCTGTAGGACAGAGACGAAAGACACTACTCGACAGTGAAACTTAGGTAGTGGTACTGAGAAGCAAATCAAGAAACCTGCGTGTACTTATGTACTCATGTTTCTGCCTAGGGCAGAGTCATACCTTCCGCGTTTGGCGTCGCCCGGCATGCCTGTCGGAATCGGAGTAGTCAACCAATAGAAGTCCGAAGCGATGGGTTGGAGATTGGTGTTGATTCTTCTTACCCAGAAATATAATGGTGTACTTGTCATTCTACAGCCTGCACGCAGAGAAGTTGGCACGGTAGCCTTGTCACTTGGCCATCAATGGATGATGCAGCCCTGGAGGTAGTTTCCTGCGGGGCTCATGATCTAGAGCTCAATTACTCGCTTGCAGCGACATGTCTGTTTAGTGTACCGCATTTCAAGGTTTTTGATTCGTCACTATTCACTCACGCTGTTTCAGTTCAAGTTCAGACATGATGCTATGGTGTTGTTGTGTCACATGCTGAGTTCGCGGGTGGTGGTGTTGCGAGGTGCTGACTGCGGAGACTCGCCTAATCCTCCCGCGGACCAGGGTCATCCCTGCAACAATTTCTCCCTCAGTTTTGCGATCGCGCGCCTGCAGCTCTCATTGCACATTCACGATAAACCACAATGGCGCCCGCAAAGACGATTCCACACAAGTCCGGTGGTCACCAGCGCTACGCATCCGAGAAGGCGAAAGACCCTGCGCGATTCCAGTCCGAACTCGAGGGCTCAGACGACGATGCAAATGCAGGCGCACTGCAGCCGGTGAATGAACCCCAGGACGATGACTTTGAGGGGTTCGGCTCCGAGGAGGAAGTTGGAGACAACGGAGCTCAGGACGAGGAAAGCGATGACGAGAGCATAGACATCCAGACGGAGAAGAAGCAGGAAAAGCCTGTCTTGCCGAAGGATGCTGAGGAAGAAGAGCTGGAGCGCATGATCTTTGGCGACTCTGAAGGCTTCCGTCAGGGTCTGGAGAATTTCTCCCTCGATCCTACCGCGAATGCGTACGGCGACTCATCAGACGAATCCGAAGCAGAAGAGGCCGACCTCGACGCTGTGGCAGACCAGGACCTCTTCTTCTTCGATGCCGGCCCAGTCGCTGCGCCTGCGGGCTCTGTGGCTGCAAAGGCAGCAGAATCAGATGAAGATGATGGCAAGCCCGCCTGGGAAGACAGCGATGACGAGAGGCTTGTAGTCAGCTTGGCGTCGGTGCCGCAACTGAGGAAGCTGCGAGAGACGGCGGATGACGACATGGTCAACGGCAAGGAATATGCGCGGCGGTTACGAAAGCAGTACCAGAGGCTATATCCCACGCCGAAATGGGCGGCGCATGCGACAGGCAAGGCCAACAAGAAGCGCCGACGGGATATGGACGAGGACGAGAGTGGTGACGAGTCTACGAGCGACATGGACGTGGACGAAGAGGATTTGTCTACGCAGCCACTGGCCAGGCTACTCAAGGATGCGGATATCCTGTCACAAACCTCACGAAGCGTGGCCAAGCGGAGGAAGGTGCAAGCAGGCACCATTGACATTCAGCGACTGAAAGACGTCGCTAAGGCTGGCCCGGTGAGCATTGCGACGCCATTGTATAGACTCCTCTCACTGACTGCCACTATAGTCTGCCATCACATCCCTCTCCTTCCATCCCGCGTACCCGCTGCTCCTCTCCTCCGGTCCTAGTTCAACACTCTACCTTCACCACGTCAACCCCAACCCGCCGAACCCGAACCCTCTCCTCACATCCCTGCACATCAAAAAGACTCCTCTCGTCACAACAGCGTTCCATCCTTCCCCCTCGGACTCGCGCATCTTCCTCAGCGCACGACGCCGCTACTTCCACGTCTGGAATATTGCGACCGGCAGAGTGGAGAAGGTGTCGCGTGTATACGGTCACCAGCACGAACAACGGACAATGGAGAACTTCTCCCTCTCACCGAACGGCAAATACATGGCTCTTCGGGGTTCTTCGAGAAAGGGTGGCGGCGTTATCAACATCCTGGATGCAAGGACACTGCAGTGGTCGACACAGGTGCGCGTCGAGTCAAGAGGTGGTGTTGCTGACTTCGCATGGTGGGGTGACGGCACTGGTATGAGCATTGCGGGCAAGAACGGAGAGATCACGGAATGGAGCGTCGAAGGAGGCGTCATAGGAAGATGGAACGACGAGGGTGCTGTGGGTACTACAGTCATCGCACTCGGTGGCAAGAGCGGACGTGAAAGCTGGATAGGTGGCGATCGATGGGTGGCCATTGGCAGTTCAAGTGGCGTTGTGAACGTCTACGACCGGCGAGCATGGAGCGAGAACGACCCTTCAGTCAAGCCTGCCAAAGACGATTCGAATGGCGGTATCCCGAAGGCACCGAAGCCGGTACGCGACTTGCAGAACCTGACGACGCCGATTTCGCATCTCACGTTCACCGCGGACGGTCAAGTACTTGCCATGGCGAGTCAATGGAAGAACAACGCAATGAGGCTGGTGCACCTTCCATCGGCAACCGTCTTCAAGAATTGGCCTACCGAGAAGACACCGCTTGGCAGAATCACAGCAGTCGCATGGGGAAGGCCGAGCGAAGAGGAGGAGAGAGAAGGTAGCCTCGCACAGCTGGCAGTCGCCAACGAAGCTGGACACATCAGAATGTGGGAGATAAGAGCTTAATTTTGGAAGCGTCGACGTTAGTGGACGCCAAATCACTAGTGTTTCCAGACCAGTCTTGTGGCTGGGGTTTCAGACCGAGAGTACTGCACATATCGCACACAAGAAGTTTAACATGTCTTCGAAGAAGTAGCGCAAATGGTTGCCTCACCTCTTCCCTCCAGTGATGAGCAAGCTGCGTCAACTACGAGGGATCAGTCACGCGCGGGCTCTTGCATGCTGGATCGCAACTGCTGCGAACTCCCGAGCCGAGAACGGTCAATAAATACTCATCTCGCTTTCCAACTGTTTTGCAAACATGTCGCATCGTCCTCACTCTGGCCATCGATCTACCTAGGTACCGTCTATGCTTACTCTGTTTTCACCGCAATCATGGCAGGCACACTCCCCACGCACCCAGGCTTATACACTCGCCTCGTACGACCATCCTCCATCACCACAACAGCACTTTTGGATACCTCTTGCACCACAATCATTGCACAACAGCCTATCAGCAACATCTTCGCAAGTGCATCATAGCAACAACATTTCCTCTCTCATCATGGGCAAGAACAAGATCCGCAGCAAGAACAAGTCGAGGAAAGACAAGACCTCCATAAGCGACACGAATGGCTCAAGCACCCCTTCGACATGGACATCTGCACACGGAGCCGTTATGACCAGATCTACTAGCGATACATCTGGTCGCCAGCAAGTACCAACAGAACCTCCTCAGAAAGTGCTCTGTGTTCCGACCATCGCTTCACTCAAAGATACGACTACATCCAGCCCTTCCTCCGGCTCATCGCCGGCTCCTCCGATAACGCGTGCAAAGCGTGCAGAAGACAAACGAGACTCGGTCATCTCAAGCACATGGGAAGGTCCAAAGCAGCAGTCCGAACCTAAAGCTACCACCGCAGCCCGACCTCGATGGGGCTTCAGGCCTCGCAACTGGTGGCCATGTCGCATCATACGCTGGATATACCAATTCTTCGTCGCCCTGACTCGGATACGCTGGACCGACAAGCAAACCTCCAAGGACCTCATCTTAACACTAGCCTTCGTCGGTATAGTCGTGGCCGGTGGCTACGTTGCCCTGGACATATTGCTCAAAGCGATACCTGGTGTCTCGGCTCAAGCGGTCGACGGCAACTGCAGTATCGTCTATGTCACTGTTCCTGGACCGATCATTACCATTTCGCTCGTTGGTGCGTCGCCGACAAATCCGGCGAAAGGCACGTACTACTTTTCTGTTGTGAATAGTACGACGGAGTGGTTGGACAGTATTGCGCCGCCTAGTCGGTTCAGTACGCTGCCTACTAGGACGGTGGATGTCACGCCGATTGTTTCTTCGGTGGGGGTGTCGAGTATGCCTTCTTCTGGTGCTGCTGTTGTGTCTTCGACGTTAGGACCGACCTCGTCAGCTCTGTTCTTACCGGGTCTATCGACTTCGTCGTCTGTAAGTTCATCTTCTTCGGGCTCAGCATTGTCGGAGACATCGAGCTTACCTCGGCCTATCAATCAACCACAGAGACCTTATCCGTCGTTTCCTGCGTCAACGAGCGTTGTCACTATCAGCAGCGGGCTGTCTACTTTCGTCTCTACGCTCTCTACGATTCTTTTGCCGTCTTCAGTCTCCGCGCCCTCGAATACCATCAGCTCTGTCACCTCGTCAGTCGTCTCATCAAGAACTCTGCCGAGTCTTAGCTCTACCATACTCCCAATCACAACTGGCGGAACGTCTTCGGCGCCTCTAACTGGTTCGAACGTACCAACGACTTCAAGCGCACCTACAACGTTGACAAGCCTATCCGGTAGCTCGGCTAACCTCCGCCCCGGTACATCAACAACTACTGGGGGCTCTTTCGTTTTCCCATCCATGCAGAGCGATGGCTTCACCGTGTCTCTGCCTAGTCCCACTTCAGGACCGACTCTCTCTGCCGACATATCTTCAAGTACATTCATGAGCCTGACGAGCAGTATCGGCAGTTCCGCGATACCGTCGTCAACGAGTCTTACACAATCGCTATCTACACCTACTTCCCTCTCGTCGAGTAGCTTCGGTTCATCTACTCTTCCCACCAGTGTAGGTAGCTCCTCCGTTGTGCCATCGACAGGTTCCACTTCGTCGCCCTTCCTGACGTCGTCAGCAGGGAGTTCCATGTCGATACCGGGGACGTTGTCGCCTTCAGCTCCATCATCCGCTCCAAGCAGTACATCCAGCTCTACACCGTCGTCGAGTCTGCCAAATGAGCCCGTAACCAGTACACCCGGTCCAAATACCTCCACCGGCTTTGCTACGCTATTCCCGATTACGAACTCGTCCTCGAGTCTGAGCTTCAACTTGACGTCTACCTCTTCTACGCTGTTGACTTCGGCTACCTTGACAAGTTCTTCAGTTGGCTCTAGCTCTTTGGCCGATAGCTCTACGTCGTCTGGTAGTAGCCTAAGCCTTCCGTCCGCTACTACCTCGTCCAGTTCACTATCGATCTCAGTTTCAATTTCACAAAGCACTTCGGCTTCTATTCCGACCGCCACCAGTGTGTCCAGGTCACCGTCAAGCTCTGTTTTCATTTCGCAAAGCACCTTGACTTCCAGTCTGACCGCCAGCACCGCGTCCAGCTCACTATCAAGCTCTATCCCAGTTTCGCAAAGTACTCTGACTTCTACATTGACGTTGACGACAACTACCTCTCCGCTAGCGACGTCGTCTGCTCCTCCAGGCTTTAACGCCACGTCTATGTTTAGCGCTCGGGCTATGACAAAGGTGATATCGTATGGGGATGTCGCCATTAGCTTCGTTTTTCCGTCACCTAACATCTCAACGACCGTGTCGTACTGGACTGGGATATATCCCACGGTGACTGGACCAGAGCCATCGGACCTGCAAACCATACCTTTGACGACACGGACTGAGCGCCAGACCCCAATCTCCGCTCTGCCATCCTTTGAGATCTTCTCATCCCGATCCAGACGTTTCAAGACGGTAGTGACGACAGTGTTCGAAGACGAGGATGAAGATACGACGTCACTTGCGAAGCGTCAGGACATTCCAATCAGTGCTGTCGTGCCTACCCCGACCTTGGAAACAACAATACTTGCGACAACGACCGTCGCTATTCCGGATGCACCAGGACCTTCATCGTGCGGTGAGTCGGGCAACTTCACGCTGACTTTCGATGACACGGTCACTGGAGACGATGACAACACTATACTGCTCGTTGCCAGCGGTATGAAGAACCCCTACCACCACCTCTTCTACGGCAACGGATACACGTACGTACCCGACATGTGGGAGCCATACCCCGCAATCTCGCAACCAAACATCGCCATGTTCCTGCCTCTGACCGGGCGGCTCCTTCCCAACACGCCCTTCGCAGGCACGATGCTTCCCGGCGAACTCGGCGCCGGACCACGAGCTTCAGTCAACGCCTACTGGTTCAACGCGTACTCCGCCCACTTTGGCTGCGCACTCAACGGCCTCACACCCTGCACATTGCGCATATCGGGCTATCGCTACGACACCACTCTCCAACAAGAAGTGCTCGTCGCAGAACAAAACGCGACTATCCCGGCTTGCTGGGGCTACATCAACTGCCGCCTCACGCAGATCTTCTTCAACGACGACTTCCGCGCACTGTCTGGTATCCAGTTCAATGCCTACACATACAATCTGGGTATACCGCAAGTGCACATGATGGATGATCTGCAGATGGAATGGTACAACAACACCTGTTCGGCGGGTATACTACGGATAGGACACAGCTAGTGTGGATCTAGGGTGTGGCGAGGTTGAAGCCATCTCATCGGGTATATGATATGTTGCTGTAGATGGCAATGATAAGGTTAGCACAGTATATCCTGGTGAACAGTATATCTAGACGCGAGTTGAATAGAGTTAGTCCACATCGAATGCGCCACTTCTTTCGCAGATGACCGTGATGAAGCCTCAGGTGACGGCTAGACCCTCGCGCTCAATGAGGCGTGAGCTCTCCATCCGCGTCGATTGGCGGGTCACGCCGTGCACGGCAATGGTCGTCCGAGATGTGTTCCAAGGTGTTTCAGACGGGGGGTGCCATGTGAGCTGGACGGCATCCGAAGACGCGTCGGCAGCCAGCCACGGAAGGAACGACGCGTAGCGTGGGTGCAAGCTCTCCATGGCGACTTCCCTCGTCGACGTCCAGGGTCCTGTTATGGCGTCACGCGGCGCCGTCGGATTTCCATGTCACGCGCGAACCGCTGAGGCTGCAGCTCCACGCGGTGCGCGCATATCGATATAGCCGGCGTATCATTCTCCAGCATAGCTTTGAATTTCCTTTTTCTTCCTTCTCCAAACCTCGCTGCAGCTCTCATTCGTCTTCCCGTCTTCGATTGTCGCATGTCCTGTTCCCGCCTCAAGCGACGTGCCGCGTCTGCCTTTACCGCGTAGATACTAGCGTTTGCGCGGCAAGCTTGACCTCTTCACGGGTGCAGGTGATAGCAGTCTCTTTCTCGGCTTTCGCTGCTCAGAGGGAAATTCTCTCACTGCTCCGCCGAAGGTAGACCGCCGACCCAGGCCCGAGGCCCGCTACCACAATTTGCAGAGCTATGGCTACCTTTGCGCCGACCAATTTTCCCTCAGACGTCCGAGACAAGCCACCCCACCAAGAGCCCCCACCACAGCATCTCCAACACCACGGACCCTTCTCCCATCAGCTCAACCCGCCCACCGCGCCTCAGTCTCAGTCGTCGAACCCCCCGCCGCAGATAGCCCGACGTGCCTCGCGCGACCTCAGGCCCCAGCACTCCAACGGCGCAATGGCGGGCGCGAATGGCCATGGGCCCATGGCGGTGCCGGGCGGGCGCGCCAACGGCCACGAGCATAGGGCAAACTTGCGCGAGATGGGCTTTGCCGGCCCACGCAGCCCCCCAAACAACAAGAACACCTCACACGTCCCTTGCAAGTTCTACCGGCAAGGCGCATGTCAGGCTGGCAAGGCGTGTCCGTTCCTGCACTCGGACGAGCCACTAACAGAGCGGGCGCCCTGCAAGTACTTCACCAAGGTAAGACATGTGCGGGAGGACGTGAATCATCGCTGACCATATATCCAGGGAAACTGCAAGTTTGGCCAGAAATGCGCCCTCGCCCACATCCTCCCCAACGGCCATGTCGTGAACCGCGGAAACGCCGGTAATCATTTTAGCCGCATGAACATTCCACACCACCAGGAGATGCCCATGAACAGCTCGCTGCTTACCATGCAGGCGCACATGGGCGGTATGCAGCCCGGCTACCCGTACGCCATGCCCGACGAGTACGCGAACCAGAAGAACCAGTACGACATGATCCCGACCATCGACACCACCTTCTCTTCCCACCCAGGCTCCAACTATGGCTCGCCGCCAAACGAGAACGGCCGACTTCCGATATCGCCGACGCAGAAGGGGTTGAGTGTGATGGATGTAGGACTTCCTGCGTCTTTCGATAGCCAGGGTGTCTCGACCATGGCGCGATACGGTCCCATTGCGTCTTCCGTACCTGCCAAGTTCCTCGCAAACTCCCCGCCGTCCTCGTACCAAGCCGATTCGCCCGCGCTTCGAAACCTACACGACTCCGCGTTTGGAGATGGTCTGCGGAGGGGCATTGCAGGGCTGGGGTCGTCTCCACCAGAGTCGGTAGAGCAGCCAGTTGGACGGAGGATGTTACATTCTGAGCTTGCCGCGAACCGCTCTCGAGGCATCATGTCGTCGAGTGTAGGCGCGCGACCGACATACAAGGACGAGGAATGGGATGAGACGGATATGATTGGCAAATTCGAGGAGGACCTGCTGCCCAATTCGTTGAGCGATCTTCTGACACCCCAGGAGAAGATGCGCCGCTTCTCGCGCGACCAGGGCGAGAGCGACAACCGCGCCTCGCAGTCCAGGTTCGGTGTTTCACCAACAGCGTCAGACCTCAAGTACGGATCGCCGTCAGCAGCCACGGCTTCGCCCTCGCGATTCCAGTCCATGTGGGCCAAGCCTCGAGGCCCGACTTACGACGGAGGATTCGAATCAGGCTCTCTACCAGGCCAGTCAGCGTTCGGACACGTCGGCTCGCCTCTGCGTAACTCAAGCCTCCACCCGGGAGCCAGCCCTTCCCTACGCGCCATGAACCGACCCACTACAGGTGACATGAGCCCATACCTCGCCTCGCCTCCGCGCCAAGCTTCCATGAGCATGATCAGCCAACAACTATCGCGAACCCGTATATCAGCGCGTGATGAAAGCGGTATCACCAGCAACCCCATCCACCCCGGCATCAACCGCGTCACCTCCGCATCCAGCATCGGCAGTTCCAGCGGCCGTCTCGGTATCGATCGCGCTGTAAGCAGCAGCAGCATCAACCGCGAGAGGATTGAGGAAGAGCAGGGTCTATTCAGCATGGAGGAAGAAGACGATCTAAACAAGAGCAGGGACGGCGCTTCGACTACGTCTAGCAACAGCAACAAGCGTTTGAGTGGTCTGTCATGGGGTAGTGGTGGCAAGGGTAGCCCGAACCTGGCCCCTGTTGGCGGTCATCGGACGGCGGGTAGTTCTGCGCTCGGCAAGGAGACGGGTGCGGGTGCTTGGGGTGGAAATGCTTGAGCGGGTGGACGAGATCACGACGACGCACAACCTCCGCAAGAAAGTAGCTGGACGCCCAGAGCCAATTCAGCACCAGCAGCCACCCACCCCACCCCACGACCATGATCTCTACGACATTCTTCCCCTACATCACTCACTTCAAAAGAAACTAGGTTGGAAAATTCTCAGCGTTCCCGGCGCAACTTGCATACAGGGTCCTATTCCACGCACAATACGGACCCTAATCCCTCCCATCTTTTCAAACGGCATATACATAAAAGTCTCTTAAAGCTTCGGCTTGACATGATCAGTCACGGGCGTACACAGCACATCACGGCACGGCACGGGCGTGTGTCTTTTCTTCCCCATTTTCCTTATCATATCTTTCCTTTCTAAGTTATAACTGGGCGTTCGTGCGTTATCATTCTTCTTTCCACATGAATGGTGCGTCATGGGTTATGGAGTTTCAAATCAAGATGACAAGTTAGTAGGGGTTTATGGCTTTTACGCTGTATTGGGGTAATGTAGGGGATGCGATGAAGGTTTTACTGGAAACGAGTATTTACGATGGCATATGAATGAGCATGGATGGATGGATGGAAGGATGAAATGGATGGATAGGTAGCTTTAGCTGGAATGTATATATACATATTTATCCTACACATAATGCGTATAGGGCCGTACGTAGTTTGGGTCAAGGTCACGGATGACCTCCTAGTTTCTTCGTGTAAGACGAGTGTTGATCATGCGTTCAATAGCGAAACTGTTTTCTGTTGTAGGCGATGGCGTTTCCGAATCGAGAACTGGAGAAGGGGTCTCGCCCTTTGATCCTGGCTTATGATGCAACGGCTGCCTGCCTTCGTTCGTAGGATGCGCGTCGATATCGTCATCAATTCCAGTGAGGAACGAGATAGCCATCTGCGTTCGTGCATCATCTCTGGCCGGCCGCGTCTCAGTCTCATTGGAACCACGTGGAGGGCGGTTATGTGACCAGGTAAGCTCAGGTGGTCTCTCTTCCGGACTCGGTGCGCCTGAATTCACGTCTGCAGAAGAAAAGAACTTAGGGGGAGAAACATCACGAATCGTCTGAAGCACCGTGGCAAGATCACGTAGAGGACGGTCATGTGACCAGTCCTGCTCGGGTGGTCTCTCTTCCGGACTCGGTGCGCCTGATCCTATACCTCCATAATGGACCTGTCGAGGAAGAAGATCATCTCTCGTCACATACCCCTCGTCTGGGAGATAAGGGTGTGCCTGGAACCCAGATGGGGACCCTCCATCCATGGACACAGTATGCGGGTGTTCTCCAGGATACGTCGGCTGCGATGTGTTGAGTTTGGGAAGTTGCGCCATTTCATGTTGAGAAAGCTGAAACCGTGGCTGCTCATTTGGATCCCTGTTCCGATATTGATCTGATTGATCCAGTACATCGCGCTCTAGGCGGGGTGGAAGTTGAGGAGGGAGATAACTTCGATTGACGAACGGAGAGTGTTCAGAAGGGAAAGGATGTTTATGCGTCATTGGCGAGGCAAGAGGGTCATGATAAGATGATCTATCTTGCGAGCGAGTGAAGTCGAGAGATCCTATGGAGTTGTATTGTTCAGGAGTAATACTGAACAGTTGCTGTTCTTCTTCTTGTTCTTCTACTATTTCTTCTTGCCCCTTGGTGACTCTGAAATGATTAGAGGGCGGCGAGTCAAAACTGCTTATGTTCGGCAAGGCTACACTAGAAGGGTTCGGTTGATGACTGTTGAGGACTGGTGCTCCGGCCTCGGCTTCAACGATCGTTATGCGTCGTACCTTTGCAGGGATGAGTAGGACATTTGTCTGTCCATGATACCTACGCGTATGTGCATTGAGTGCAGTTCTCTTCCCAAAGCCAATGCGGTTGTATTGGCAGGATACTGTCTGACAATACACGCGTTGGACATGGACAGTCTCATGCTCGAGCCGGAGTTGCGCAGTGGCAAAGCCCGAGGATAGCCTCTCACAATGTGGAAAGCGGCATCGAAACGCAGTGGAGGCGTATGATGCCTGAAACGCTCGAAGTGTGGCTGGTGCAATACCTTGGACGTCTTGTTGTGCCAAAAGATACACAACGGCGCTCTCGTAAGTGTAGGCAAGTCTGCTAAAAAGCGTTCGGTCGTTACTGATGACGAAACTCTCAATATCTGGGAAGGTTTGTGAGCTGATGGAGGTGGCTATGTGGAAGTGACAAAGTTCATTCTGTACTTACCTGAACTATTATCGCCGTCAAACGCGCTGGCCAGCTGTCTGAGACCCATTACATCCGCCATCAAGCCGTAGATTGGTATATTCAGAAAGAGATTGAGCCGTTCCTCTGCGTGGGTGGTGTTTGCCCAGTCCGGCGACACATTCTGAGTTGGAGCAAGTCCGAGTGCATGCAGATAGTTTTCGTGTGTTCCGTGCAGCCGGTCTAGTTGACGTTGGAAGGGTCGGCCTGGGCGGAGATCTCTTCCAGAAGCATATTGCAGGCAGTGTTCGATCCAAAACTCTATTGCATATGGTAAGAGCCTGCAGTTGCCACTCGCGATGAGAGCAAGATAATCAGTGGAGTTGCTTCCCAAGCGTACGAGTTCCAGGCCGCGCATGATGACAATGGCGCATGCGCAAGATATGTCTAGTGCAACATCAATTGCTGGAAGGATTTGGGGTATTTGAGCCTTCAGGAAATATCTAATTGATCGTTAGCGGCCATAAATTCAGCCGATGAATGTGCTTACTCTTTCACCGAGAAGTGGACTGGTACTATCGTTGAATCAGGTAGTTCTTCGATAAGCGGTTTGCAGTGGTCAAGAATAGAAGCGACAGGAATACTTCGCATCTGAGAGCTCATGTCGTCTGGAAACATAGACAGCGCCTGCAGTAGCTCTGATCTATGCAAAGGCCTCCGTGAGAAGCATATCCAGCTCATGATGCGCGGCACGCCTCCGTAGCTTTGGGCACCTGGGGCGCTGCAGAGACGAGTCACGATCTGTTTGTAAAGAGCCTCCAGATCAGAAGGAAGGTTGTCGACGATAGTACGTAGTTCCTCGGGGCTATACACCGTATCGAGTGATTGCAGCACGAGGCTCACCCACAAGAACATACCTGTGTGAGTGTTAGAAAATGTATTGTCGTTCAGCAGATTGAACGGGACGTACCCTGAGACTTCTCAAGCAGAGTCTTCTTGACATGAGCCATGATCGAGGAATCAGGGTCGAGCTCTTCGAAGTGATCAGGAAGATCAGCAAGCTTATCATCGACAAAACTGGCAATCGCACGAGTGATTGCAAGACCTTCGTCGCCATTGCTGAGAGAGATCATCGTTGACAATTTGTCCTTCTTGCGCCGAGAGGTGGCAATGGTGTCTCGGCTCGCGACCAGGATCTTGCAGATATGGGAAGATTGGTCGGTTGAGATCATCTGCGAAAGGTCATTGAGAAGCTCCTTTTGGTCCCGTGAAGCCCATTCGTCAATACCGTCTACGATAAGCCGCACGGATCCCAAACCTCGGAGAAGTTCAGGGAGAAGTGTCAACAACGCTTTCTTCGTGGGTTCAGGATTCGACTTAAAGTAGACGTCGTGAACGTATATGGCGAGATCCTGATGTTTTTGGATGACCTGCGATATGAGAGATCGAAGCAGACGGCTCGGACCATCGGAGCGGCTTCCAAGGAAACTGCAGAAGTAATAGAACACATGAACGGCGTTCGTCTCGGTGTGCTGCACAAGGGCAGAGCATATCATCGACTTCCCTTTGAGCAGGTCAGCAAATGACTAGCCGTAGCGGCGGCAATTGAACATACCAGCTCCTGGTTTACCGCAAAGCCACAGAAGGGGATTCTTTGCGCTATCTCCTAGCCATAAATCTGTTGCTTTGTGCTGAATGAACCAATCGCAGCTGTGTGGCAAGTAATCTCGGAGGTGCCGGTCAAGCAAGTCGGCTGGGAGTGTATCAGTCGTTCCCAGCCAGGCTAAGACTTTTTGAATCTTGACCTAGAAGCGTAGCACGAAGTCAGCGCGTGTCTCACAAACACAAAGTGTACTAGTGCATACTTACAGCAGTCCACTCGCGCTCTTGTTGCTCCCAATTCTCGTCATCGGCTTTGCTACGTCGGACGGATTCAGCGATGTCCGCTGCGGCAGCTTCCTTGTCGGCTAGCTCAGTGTGATATGCCAGGTTTTTCAGTATCCCATTGAACCGAGATTCAAAGCCAGCCCACATAGAATTGAAGAATATGGACCATGCTATAGCTGATTAGAACGACATAACATCAGGCTGCTGGTGTACTTACATTTCCTTTTCACAAACTTGTAAGCTCGACGATGAAACTCTACAATGTCAGAGTATACTAGAGCTAGCACATTTTGAAAGTTGTGATCGTTGACAAGTGCATCGCCAAGACGATCCAGGCGAGAAACAATGTCTCCAATCTTGCCGTAGGCTTCTATCAACTTCTCGAACGCACTGATAGAATCGGCCGTGATCTGTCTTCACAGTAAGTACAGGATCGCTGGATAGGCGTGCGACTTACCATAAGCATTAGCTTTACCGGTGCCCAGATCCATGGCAGGAAAGGCGTCCCATTGCAGAGCACTTCGACCACCTTGGAGTAATGCTCCATTCCCCGAAGGAAATTGTCCAGCCGGGCCATGCACCTTTGCGTCCGGCGGGCGCGAAGCTGACGCTCAATATGTATCGCCTCATCGCGGACATCGTTGAGCTGGGTGTTGTGGAACAGTCGCTTGTCGTCTGGCGCGACGGTGGATGCAAACCGCTCGAACGCGTCTTGAAGCGTGACGCGGGCTTGGGCGGAAGGGGCCGCCGCCATTGTACCGAGGTTGGGCCGTGCGCGCGTCACCGAGGCGTGATGAATTCCAGGGCAGGAGGGAGAGGCTTCGACCACAACACACTCGCTACTTTATGAATACAACGATGGAATTGTGAGTAGGGGAGAGATGGATGGCAGTTTTCAGGAGGCACGCTCAAGGTTGACAACACCTTGCACGCTTGTACAGCCTCGTAGGCAGACACACTCAGCCCCCATGGCTTGCAATAGCTTGCAGTATCCATGCACCTAAGCTCTTTACTTCCATCCTCCAACATGGTGATGTGCGAGACACCGTCTTTCGCGTCTTCAGGCGTCTTACAGTATGCTCACATGCCTTCCCGAGATCGTTGTCGATGAATTCGCTGCTCCAGCCACAAAGCGACGGCGATTGAATACCCCTCATGCGGAGAGCGTCACACTCGCATCTGATCACGAAGTCTCGGCGCAGACATCACCACCGTCCGCCAGCGCGACCACAGAAGAGTTAGGAGAAGACACTTTAGTATGCTATGGCATGGTCAGTCGCGCCCTGCTCACCTTATTGGTCTATGCTTACCTTGCTCAGATATCAGATTTAAAAGCACACAGTCTCCTCCATCATGCCACCTCTCTTACCCCTACCCCAGACGCGATCCGATTTGAACCTCCTCGTACAATATTCCGCGATAGTGCCAATACGCCGGTCGCCCGGCTGGACGACTATGGGGGCGAGCTGCTACTGCGGCTGGCAGCCGACGACGAGCTCGTATTACAACTCTCACTCTTTTCGGCGCCCATCGCACCCCCGGCGGAACGGCGGACACTCAAGAGTACATTTCAGTACGTAGGGGCTACGATATATGGTCCCAAACGCCGCTCCGGAGATGTGGGCGATTTCTTGAATCAAGCCGGTTGCTACTTGGATGACCCTGTTGGCTGTGACCGCAACGTCCCCTATATGAACCCTCAATGTCTGTTTACTCTTCACGAAACGCCACCTATGACGTTCGATCTATTGCAGTCTCACGAATTACACATCGACAGCTTCTCACGTACTTCTTTAGATGTTTTGTCGCGTTTCGAAACTACTGATGAGTTCGAATTATCGGCTAGCCCGACAGCTCTAAGGACCGAGTTAAAAGAGTACGTAGACCTCCGTGGAAGGGTTACACCAGTTGACCTAAGATCGAAGGCATCAGAAACAAGCCCTGACTTTCTTCCTGCGACGCGAACGAGGTATGCACCCAAACAAAGATGGTGTTGGTATATGGCTGCGGAAGACAAGCGCGGGACAATCTACGTGCGTATGCCCGAGCTATCTTTTCAAGACTCAATGCTGAACCTTGGTGTGCTTCAGTTTTGTGAACGCTGTGACTGGTAAAGTCCAATCTGCCCCTGGCCCGGTGTGGAATGGTGGATTGCTCGCCGATGAGATGGGCCTTGGGAAGACGCTGAGCATGATCGCTTTGATCGCTTCTGACCAAGATCGCCGTTCAGACAACGATCCACCCACTGGCTACTCCGCTTCCGAGACTTGCATAGCATCGACTCTGATAGTGGTGCCACTGAGCTGTAGGAGTGCATGCATCCTACGACTTCACGCACGCTGACGCCATCTGCAGTGTTTAGTGTCTGGGAATCGCAGCTACAGAGGTTCGTCGTCGCAAACTATGCGAGGTACGCTTATTGACCGTCATCAGCCACGTCCATCCCGGCAAAATAACATGGTGCATGCACCACGGCAACCGAAGGTTCAAGCTGAAGAACCACAAAAGACCGCCCGGTAGGTTGTATTTACGTACACACCACAGATAATGCGTCGACTGACGGGCCGCTGCATCACTAGAGATTGTCTTCACTACCTACCAGACTCTCGAGGGAGAGTATCGCAGGAGCGTTCGGAGCAGCGGCTCTATCTTCTCGCACCACTGGAGGCGAGTCATTCTCGACGAGGGTAGGCATAAAGGGCCCCTACATTTCGTGCTTCCATACTGACTGCACCTCTCTCTAGCACATACAATACGCAATCACAAGACGTCTACTGCGCACGCAATGGCCGCACTCCGCGCAACTTCAAGATGGGCAGTCTCTGGTACCCCAGTTCAGAACAGCCTACTCGACTTCCATGGTCTCTTCAAATTCCTTCATTTCGCACCATACGACGATCCAAAAGTGTTCGATGACGATATTTCGAGTATATGGCGTACAAAGTCCGTCGAAGAGGCTGGAGAAACGTTCAAGAAATTGCTATCGTGCATGATGATCCGCCGAACGAAGGCTATCTTGGATCTGCCCAGCAAAGACGACCATCTGATGCGTGTGCCATTCAATCATGAGGAAGAAAGACACTATCGCCAGATAGAACAACCCGTCATGGATATGCTGGATCGCAACACGAGAGACGACAGGCAAACCCAGGCCCCTTGGATGACTGCTATACAGCAGATCAACAAGCTTCGTCTTATCTGCAACCTAGGCGTCTCCACTCCTTCGCAAGCCGACTACGCCTCGCAACCCGGCGGCAATCCCGATGACAAGACATCCGTGATGAACACACGCTTCTCAATGGACGGAGGATCATGCGAGCTGTGCTCCCAGCCAGTCGAACTATCGACACTCGGCAGTAGTCTACGGGATGTTACACAACCACAAGTCTATTATTCAGCTTGCAGCAAGTTCTACTGTGCAGAGTGCTCCGCGAGCCTTCAATATCGATCACCTGAGCCTTGCGCGTGTATAGAGCAACCGCGACAGTGTCCACTCCGTCTCCTGGCGTCCTTCTTAGCCACCCCCAGTCTTACGCCTACCGACAGCCTTTCTCCCTCATCAATGGATTGGGACTATAGCAATGAAGTCTCAAGCAAAGTATGGGCGCTTGTGTCTCAGATCAGGTCGCGCCCGCAGGAAAAGCAGTGAGCCCACCAGCATCATCAGGCACCTTACCAGACTAACCTTTAGCTAGTGTCGTATTCTCGTCTTGGACGTCCAGTCTCGACATGGTAGAGAGAGCGCTTCGGTGTGATCCAAATCAAGTCATTCAATCCGTCCGAATTGATGGCAAGGTTACGCCAAAGAACCGCAGTATCGCTACACGACAGCTTCAAGATGATCCTGGTATTCGCGTCATACTCATCACCATCGCCTGTGGTGCCTGTGGGTAAGCTTACAAAGACAATACGCGCTAAACACGAAGATGTTCTAACAAGCGTATCAGTCTTGACCTAACAGCGGCATCTACCGTTCACCTTCTCGAGCCTCAGTGGAACCCTTCTCTCGAAGACCAAGCACTTGCTCGCGTTCACCGGCTTGGGCAGACTCGTCCTGTGACTACTATGCGCTATGTCATGGAAGGCTCGTTCGAAGAGGTACGTACTCATGCCTTAGTAACTCTGGAAACATGAACTAATGCCTACATCAATAGCACATTCTCAAAGTTCAAGATCGCAAAAAGCTCCTCGCTACGACCCTACTATCGAATGGCTCTTCGCTCGAGGTAAGCAACGCGCATGCAAAGACCTGCATTTTCGGTTCCAGACACTGACGGGACTTCCCTAGAATTTGCGACAATTGCTGCACGAAAGTAGGGGCGGTTGACAGACTTGATGGGACGCAAGACCATCAAGGCTAAATACGATATTTTGTTGTTATCACTCATTCCTGAGTATCAGTTCCTCATGACTGTGATCTCTCGTTCGAGCGCACATTCGTGCATGCGACGATTATGTACTGCTGAAGTCGTGACTGAGTCCCAGCTCGCTCTGCGTCATCGCGCACAAGTTCGGCATTACACTGCCGCGAGCTTTTATTCGAAACCATATGTAGGTACCGGGGACTACTTCTTTAACGGCCCATCGACCCTCTGGCTCGCGATGATAAAAGGCCCTTCTGAATGGTCTTGCGGCTCCATCCTTGCAGGCGGCTGGTGTTGATCTAGGTGGCCCGTGCGTATCACGTTTTGACGCGTCGGCGCGTCACCCTCCTTCCATCGCCAGCATAGGAAGACTCTGCGAGCACCACTACATTCCCCATCACCAGCAACACCCGCACATCACCACCGTAGATGCCTTCCATCACACGCGGCAGAGGACTGTTAATGTTCGCACAGTTTGCTTGCTGCTACATGGCGACGATGGCAGCCACCCAGGTCCTCGTCCAATTCGCCGGTGCCTTGGAGACGAGGCTGCTGCGCGAATGACAACACTGCAAAGGGTCAGCCTTTTCAATTAGCGACGTGGCCTCTAAGTGAAAGGGTGAAAGCTATGCCATCATGCCATGGGCGAGGGTTGGTATCTCTCCCTTTGCTGCACAGACCGTGCGTGGCATTTCCTAGGTTGGCTTAGCGTATGTGCCCCGCACAAAAGCACGCAACAAGGTCTCCATCTCGGCACCACTCCCCGCAGCCTTGAGAGCAGCTTGATACAACCTGTTCATGCTCAAGTAACAATGCCTGGCGATGTTCAACTCGTACTCCCGCGCCGCGATCCGACAATTGAAAGATGGTATCAACGGAGGAGAGCTGTGCGTGCCATGCCAGATAGCTCTAGAAGAAAACGAGCGTACGGGCTTCGCTAGCATTGGTACGTCAGCCTGGCTGAACAATGGCTTCAGAGAATACGATGAATACCAGCATCTCACCGAGCCTATTCTCTATTGCGACTGTTGCCGTCATGTTCTCCGCACTGGAGAGTTCCAGAGACAACAAGGAAGAGATCAAAGTCCATCGGTTGATGCGCAGAAGTATCCTGGAGATTTCAACGGGCTAACAACGTGTGTGTTTCTACATGATGACGATCTGGATCCGCAGGAGTGTGAGGCGGCCTTGAAGGAATTCAAGGTTCACAAATCAGATTACAGTCGGACAGTAAGACATCACTGGGCGGATGTGGAGTTGATCAAGAGTTGGCTTGGTGACTGCGAAAAAGATCACGGCCATACCTGCAATAAACACCAGACGACAGTTACTGATACTGGGCCGCTTTTACTTCTGGATGTTATCCATGATTCTCTCGCTGTTGGGAACTTCAAGGATCGGTATTTCGCCTTGACTTACGTTTGGGGCGCTTCGAAACAGTTCCTGACCCTGATGGAGAATTACGACCAGTTGCGCCAGCCCGGAACTCTCTCCAAGCAGCCTTTGACCCGAACCATCAGGGACGCAATGACCTTTGTCAAGAGCCTGGGTGAGCGATACTTATGGGTTGATACAATGGTAGGCAAATTCAGCATGATCAATTTGGGCCTCCACTTACGAAACTCAGTGCATCATCCAAGATGACGCTGCCAACAAAGCGAGCGCCCTCGCCCAGATGTGCGCAATTTACAGCTGCGCTATGGCCACGATAGTGGCTCTAAACGGAGACTCCGCCGACGCCGGCCTACCCGGCATTCCGCCTACGGCCCGCAACACCACCGCAACCTTCGTCACCCCTGGACTACACATGGTGGAGCGATCATCGCTAGAGAACATGTTGGCTAATCACACCTACGATGGTGTAGACGTCGACTGTATTTACAACACGCGCGCCTGGACATTCCAGGAACGACTACTATCGAACCGAAGCATATACTTCCTCGGTGAACAGGTATACTTTCACTGCAAGAAGCAACTCCTCTGCGAAGACAGATATATCAGCGATGACACCAGTTTCTATACACTGGACAAGATGCGCACGACTAGCGTAGAACTCAAATCGAGAACTACTCGTGCTGGCACATATAGTCCACTGGACGAGTTTCGTTGGTACGAAGAGATCGTCGCAGAATATTCGGCAAAGAGAATGGGATACCCGGACGATGTCATCAACGCTTTCACCGGAATTCAAACTATGCTAGCTCGTATGTTCGATTGGCCGTTTGTCGGCGGCCTCCCGACTCCCCTTCTGGATCTCGCATTACTTTGGACTCCTGTTACCACCATCGAGCGAAGATTGACTGCCTCACAGCAGCCAAGCTGGAGCTGGTCGGGCTGGATCGGGCGAGTCCGGTACGTAGACCTCGTGCGCCCAGGGCATAGGCCGATAAGCTCGTTGTTCAAGCCGCTCGCCAAACATCAGCTCGCCATGCCAGCTACGATTGTGTTCGAGTGTATGAGCGTCCCTCTTAAAGCGTTCGAACTCACCAAGGTTCCGAAAGGACTTTTTGACCCATTCCAGAGCACATCTAGCCCCATCACTGAAGACTCATACTACGTCTTCGACAGCAATAAACGTCGCTGCGGCATGCTCATAGGCCTTCCGCAAGAACATGCGCTGTCCATCGCCAGTGGAGACCTGAAGCTCCTCGCGCTTTCGGCTTGGAAGTCGAACAATAGTCTCACAAAGAACGGGCCAGTCATCTCTTATCTCTCGGATAATGGATATTTCTCAGACGAAGAGGTGTACGATCAAGCTTTCCGCGATGCAGAGTGGTGTACTTACAACGTCATGCTCGTGCGCTCGGCAGGCGACGCGTATGAGAGGGTTGCGGTGGGACAGATGCACGTAGACGCGTGGCATGGAGCGGGTGAGACGTGGGGAAGGTTCGCGGTGAAATGATAATATGGCGATACAGTAGCAACGCACAACTATAACTCAGAGCATGAACAGTGGCAACATGATACACATCCCTCGAAAAGCTCAAGAAGCGTATATTTCCCGGTGCCTATATGTACTGTTCAATCATTGGGTAGGCACGTCGCACGTTGTGCAATTGTCTTGCGGCATCTCGCCAAACCAGCTCGCCTTTTGGGGTGTTGCCAAAGCCTTCGGCATAATAAGGTCTGCGATCAAGAAGGCAGTACCCTGTTCAGTCGGTGGACGCCACTATTCTGAGAACGCAACCTTCCTCAGATGGATCCTCGAGTATGCCGTGTCGCAGTCTGGTTGCATAGGTATGCTAAGCATTATCTGACTTGGCCTCGACGTCTCATGTCCTCCTTTTGATAATAAGCGGGTTGATATCACCGTTGTTTCTCCAGCACGTCGATTTGCGCGAGGATCACATCCTTGCACCATGGGAGCGGATTTGTCCTGGCGCTGTGCACATTCTTAAGGTACTGCTCTGTTGAGAGCCCGTCGGTGCATATAGCAGGGATCATGCCATGTCTGGCGACGTGTGTAGCGAACAAGAGGCGTGATGTTCGGCCGTTGCCATCTGGGAATGGGTGGACGCTGACGTAGTACAGAGTGTCCCATACACCCTTTATCAGAGGATGTATGTCTTCTTGGTCGTGCGCAGCAAACTTCGACCACCGCTCCAGATTCGCTTCCACTTCGCCTGGATAGGGGAATATGGCCTTTGGGTTCGACTGAACCTGGACTGGCATGTGGCGGATTAAGCCAGCCTTGAACGGCATTTGCATGCCCCGAAACAGTATCCTTGATATCATCCGTATGTCCTCTAGGAGGTTCTCCGGGGTTGATGCTCGCTCGATATAGGTACTCGATAGTACAGCCTGTAGTGCAACACTGTTGTTGCGCAGTTCGAGATACTCTATCTCCTTGGACTCCTCGCCGTTGTCGAGTTTTATCAACTCGCTCGAGGATGGAAGCCGCAAATTCATCGCGTTGAGCAACGCGCTTCCACCGTCTTTTTGCAACTGTATGGCCGCTTCGACCTTCTTTGCGGTCGCTAACGATAGACTGTTGTATTCTATGGCGCAGCTTCTCCAAGAAAAATTAGCAAGTACGTTACTACAAAACATTGTAGCATCTTGCAAGATCTTTGATGGTGATGTGTTCTCAGCTCTTGGCTGGAAATCCTTTCGCAGCGTATCTAAGTATGCAAGCTCTCGACGCATTTGGTGTTGCGCATCTCTCCAGGGTGCTGCATTTCGTATCTGGTAGATCTTGTCCCATACTGTTCCGGAACGGGCTAGCGTATTCCACTCCGGTCCATCTTCAAGAAGACCGTCGAATTGCGCATAATGCTTTCTGAGGAGGGTGTTTCGCGCGCGGATGATTTCTTTCGTCCACTTCATGTTGTTTGCGTTGCTGATTTTCTGTTTGTGTTGACGTTCTGAAGTTTGGTGCAGGTTAACAGAATCTTTTCGGAGGTTTCGGGTTGCTAGTAGCTGCACTTCTATGGTACTTGCCCCTACTTCCATGGTACTCTCTCTGACTTCCATAGTACTTGCACCCACTCAACCATAGCATAGCAGCGGCGAAGGTCCCAAATCCAGCATCACTCGAACTCGCCATACCATTGTAGTATCTTACAATATCGTTGATGGTGATTAGTCCTCAGCACTTAGCTGGAACTTTCTCCGGAATCGTCCAAATGTGCGAGCTCTCATGTTGTGCACGTCATCCTAGGAAAAAGCTAAACAGGTCTGCAGCCTACATTAACGTAGAAACCTACAAAGTAGGTGGCCTAACGTTGATGTAGGCTCTAGGCCTGCTCAGTCTTTTCCTTGTATAAGGTGTGTGGATCTTTGTAGGGTGATGCATTTCTCCCACAGCCTGCATTAGAGGAAATCATCTGAGCCAGCCCGCGCGCACAGATTGTAATAGGCCAGTACAAGACGCCGACCTTCGTTGTTCATGGCACGAGCGATGACTCGATCCCCTGGGAGCAGTCGCAGGGGACGTGCGAGGCGCTCGTAATGAAAGGTGTGTCATCGGGCCTTGCTATCGTCGAGGGTGCGCCGCAAATCTGCGACCTCAGTAGCAGTCCCGAATCGGAAGGGTGGAAGGCTATGTTGAAAGGCTATGTTGAAAGGCTATGGTTTTCTTTCTGCCGCGATAGACCATTCCACTTCTGCTGCTGCCGGGTGTCCCATCTGATCGAGTTTTTTCGGTTGCGATAGCCCTCGTTCGAGAGGCCTTCAACGTAGAGGGTGTAGTGCGAATTCGGAACTCATGGGTGGCTTATTCGCGATGGATCATGGCCAATGACGTCTACAATCGAATTAGCTCGGTGCTTTAGGTGGAAAAGCACAACATCGAGGGATCCAGTGTAGTGACTCAATATCATCCCAGCAGAACACGCTGGATGGGATCATCATCGTACCTGCTAATCTGTGATTGCTTAAGCGGCCAGCACCTGAATCTAGTTGATAGGACAGCCCGGTATCAAGGATAATTCTGACAGTAAGGAAGTGCGCAAGTGATTGTCGATGCTGGCAGTATGGGTATATGCGAGGCTGTTGCTGTTGGAGTGTGAGCAGGCCATCTCCTCCAAGGCCCCTGGAGAAGCGCGGGGCTGGGCAGGGTCCAATTATGCGCTAACTACATGTGCTTGACGCCCGCGTCATTGTCCCCTGCTATACACACCGTGTGCCGCAAAAGCACTGCGCCCACCAGAACTCGAATAATCCAGCTAATCTGAAGTAGGCGGCGCCGACATTTGGTCATCTACACGTTGCCACGTTCGCTTGCGTGCTGCTCCTTCTCTTTGCACATCGAAATCGCTGCCAGCCGACTCTTTTCCGTCGCACAGTGTTGCGAAAACTTTTCGAACCCAATAAAACCATTTGCTTCCTTCCGCATTCGCCCGCCTGTCGCATAGTGGAATGAAGGACAGGCCACGAACAATTTGCGATGGCAGGTTCAAGGCACTGTAGCCTGTGGTGGGCTTCTGGCGCGACATGCACGTGTCGCATTTAAGGGGTACCCACTCAAGTGGGAACGCATTCCGCAATACTTTTGATCGACACCGACACATGGCATGACGGTCTCTTTACTCAGGAACGGCAGATCGGATCGAATGATATGGTAGTAATAGAGAGTACAATCGCAGCGCTGACATGCATCTCACTGACAGGGATGGTGGGGCCGAATCATTGGCAGGCCCCCTAATCAGCCGGATTACCTGCTGTGCCACTCGATCTGATACTAGATTCAGCGTTAAGAGAACCTCTGCAAGCCGTCCTGAAATTTCTCCCCCTACCTTAGCAGCTATCTTCGAAGCGACCGGAGATATCAATCTACCGTGAACAATGCACCCGTATACGGACTCCTCGTCCCAGGAGACCGCCGTGAGCGGACGTCAACTCGAACCAAATGAGCCTCATGAACCATATGAGACCGCAACGAGATCGCGAACTGAGTCCATTGGCTCATGCTTCAACGTGAGCCCAGTGCTTCGATCAAGTTTTGACCCAGTCTCGACTCCCACTCCATCTCCATTTTCAGACGCAGCCTTGGAATCGTTGGAAGCACCTGCTTCTTCAGAACAAACTAGAAGTTCCATCAGGCACTCGCCTGGCTCTCTGCTCGGTAAACGCCCCAGGTGGAAACCGACATGGATAACGCCTGTCACGATACTAGGCTTCTACTTTATATGTAAGTATGATATGTAGTGTTGAAAGTCAGCTTGTTCCACGATACTAACAGCGTCTAATCAGCTTTCATCAGTGCAGCAACGCACTACTGCTTCTTCGCATACCTCGACGGTCGTATTATATTCTCAGGCTCTATGCCCTCCGCAAAGACCACGACAGTCCCACAAGCCTACGCTACTACGGTATCGCTAGTGTTAGTCACCGCGTTTCGTGCTGCACTTGTAGCGAGCATTACAACATGCTATACACAATACCTTTGGGCGACTTTCAGGAAGCGTGCTCTCAAGGTACTATTCTCCCCAGTCTAGCTAGCGAGCCGAAGCTTACAATATGCAGATCAGCCTAATCGAAGATCTTTTCCAAATGCAAACAAATCCGCTGCGCCTTCTCAACTACCACTTGTACTTCAAAACGCCAATACTTGTCGGCGTAGCTATGTTTTGCTGGCTTGTACCTATTGCAATGTTATATCCTCCGGGCACTCTAGTCGTCGGACTACAACTTTCCTCAATCGGTCAAAGCTTCAATGTGTCCGTCTTTCACCATAGGAATCTCCAAGACATTACGGACGGCAATCTTATAGTCCCAATAGCTTGTCCGTGTGATTGTGGGGAACTACGTACATGCTACGGATGTAATCCGCCGTTCCCGGAAGCGGTACAGAATCCGTCGTTGCTACAAGATTGTTATCCGACACGATAGTTAGTCCATCTCGTTCCAACCAAACCACAGCGTTGCCAAGGTCATATTTGGTATATACTAACTTATCTATAGCATGAGCGCTACTATGGATCATATCATACGCTCAAACTTAATTGCGGGCGAGATGTCGAGGATGAGGCAAGCAAGCAGAGAGAATACATCGTATGAACTCAATTTTCTGGGAACCACACTAGATTGCGAGACTAAGAATCGCTCCCTGGAAAGCACAATCTTGCAACTAAGCCCCAGCAATTGGATTCTGAATCGTCCGGGGGATATCTGGCAGATAGAATATCCCGAGTCCAGCTGCGAGTTGAGAAACTACGAGAGGTTAGACGTTTTCCCTGGGAATACATCGATCACCTACCGGGTCGGCCACTATGAAGAAAAGCCACAGTACTGGCCATGTTTGGACAAAGACACATGGAAGCCCATACGTGATCACTCGCTAGATACATATGCACAGGTCGTCGACTTCCCGGACTCTGGCATACATATTGTTGTACCTACAACCGAAACAGTGTGTCAGCCAAGGATAGCGAGATATCACGTCACCATCTCACACGTTGGCGGAGCACAACACATCTCTTATGTGATTGGAGACGAAACATCTCTACCGGCATATGCGATACGTTTTGGCGACTTCAACGGAAGTTTTGAGCAATGGTCACAGCTTTCCGACGCTATATCAATTTACCAGAGCTTTGCCTCGAATCTCAATCAGCCTGGAACAAGGGTCATTATAAGCAATTTTGAGTATCCCAACATGTCGAACGAGACGAAACCTTACACGACTGGAAATGGTACTGTCGTGGAAACATGCGTGCTTGAAGCCGAAGGTTCGTCAGCGGGGGACACTGGTGTATCAGATGCGATCTGGGACCTCGGTGTTTTCGAGCAACGACTGCATGATATCGATCTGAGTTATGACTGCCCGGCATTCGACCCTGACATGGCCAACGAGCTCCTCATCAACACCACAATCTCAGCACTAGCCCTAAACCAACGCTTCGACATCGTCAACGGAACAGAGACCCGTACTTTCAACATCTACCGCTTCGAGAACAAACTCGCCTTCTTCCTACCATATGGCCTCTCACTTGCACTCGCCATACCAATCCTAGCGCTAGGACTCGTAGCTCTCTACGTCCAAAACCACGGCGTCTCGGCTATCAATGGAGGTTTCATGCAGCTTCTTATGACGACTACTGGACGCGGTTCACTCGAAGCGGTGGTTATGAGAGGCTCGGGTACGCTGGGCGGATACGAGAATGTTTCGGAGGAGCTGCGTGGGATGGAAGTTAGGTTTGGAGAACTCGTTGAAGTTAGTGGGGATGAGGTTAAGGAGACTGATACGCTTCTGAGTGGGCATAATGGGCTTGTCGATGCGCAGAATGATAATGGTTCGCAGTCAGGTGTGCAGACTGCGTCTGGAACGGAGCGGTTGGAGGACAGTGTTTCTGTGGTGCGAAGGGCTGGCTTTGGTACGGTTGATGAAGTGATACCGTTTAGGAACGATGCGGAATAGTAGTTGGGAGTCTTCCGGTGTTCTGTAGACTACATCAGTATCAGAATCGAAGTTAGCAAAACCTTGACGCAAGGTAGGCGTCTAGCTTGTGTGCTTCGATTGTTTTCTAAGGGTAGATGTCTAGTCTTTCTCTTGTATGGTGTGATAATTTCAGCGAAAGATCCTGGATTAACGCGTTGCTCTTCTTGTGTATGCACAAGCGGAATGCTATGTTACCAGTTCCCAAGATCGTGCGATCCGCACACGCGTTTTCGAAAAGATAGCCAGGGGCGGACATCTGACCATTGATGTACCCTGCATCAAGCGCTTCACTAATGTCAGTACCATAGCTTAGCCCCTACTCGTATACTCACCGACAAGGAGGCGTTTTTGCCAGCAGGATGATTGGCGCCATGACCGTAGCCTGCATGCCATTTCGGGGCTCAAAGCGGGGTAAAGTCCTCAGCTGAAAGTGCTACCACTTTCTTAAGCATGTTGATGTGCGCGTAATCTTCAGCCTTGCCACTCGGATGCGCAGGGGGGTGCGCCCAAGTGCTATCATAGATCGTCTGGAAGCCCATCATCGAGAAGGGATGTTGTTTTGTTCGAGGAGAACGCTTTCGAGCCCTTATTGTCTCCTATGCAGACCGTTCGAGTCAATACTGGATCGCGGACTGTGGCGTCGTGTGCTTGCGCCCTGTTCGAGAGATCGGTGTGAATCTCAGCCTTGTCGGCGTGGGGTTACCCGCCAAGGACGCCCGCAGCTGAACTCGTTTGAGAGGTATAAGAAACTGCAGCGTGCTGCGCTGAGTCCAAAACTTCCAAAGTTGCAACATCTTCTTTCAGCCTTGTGCAGAACTCTTATCAGGTCACTACCTAAAGCTTACGAGAGTTCGCCATGAATTCAACCAATGATGAGTGCCCCATCAATGTTCCGGGGCTCTGGCACAATGGCGACTGCTCTCTACTCTGCCGGCCGGCCGAGTGGTACGACATCTTGGTCTTCGTCCTCGGAAACTATCTTGCGCACGTTGCCACAGTAGCGTCTCCACCAGGCGTCAGCACCGTCGATCAAGTTCTCAATCTGATCGAAGCGCTGATTTTCCCTCTTTCTGGTCTTGGCCTTGGCCTCGAGGCTATCTTCAGCTGGGCGATATTTGCTACGACTCCCTTGAGAACAGCAGCACGAGCTGGCGCGCTTTTGATGGTCGTCAAAACGAATCAAGCCGAGGAAGATGCGACTGGGCTTTCAGATATACGAAACATTGATACTGAAGTCATTCAAGACCGGAAGGTACAGGACCAGGTCGACGTTGAACAGAACACGATTGCAGCTCCACCAAAACAGAGGACGATTCGATATCCACAGAAGCATATACATCCACGTCATCTGTGGAGGGGTTTCAAAGTCCACGGCAGCCTTTGTTTACCTGAAGGCTTCGAGCTCAGACGTGTTCCATACTATACAGAATTTGAAGAGGATGAAGAGGAGTCCAGGTCCAAGCGCAAAGACAACAACCAGATGTCGAAATGGTACGACTTTTTGTTCGTATTCAGCAAAAGGTACAAGACAACAAACGAAGTCGCCTGCAGTTACAACGGGGCCAAAGCGATTGTCTCGATCGTTCAAATCCTTTTCGGTATTCATACATTGTACAGGACAAGAGGCAACCAGGTTGAGCAATTTGGCTATGCAGCCTATGGGCTCACCGTGATACAATACGCTTTAATGAGTTTCGTCAATCTTTTGGGGAATATAGTGCGGCCAGACTATGCATCCACTTACATCGTTGGGTCGAATTGTTCAGACGACTTGCAAGAAAAACACAACTGTGCATTGGTTACTATCGGACGGATCAAAGAGCACAGTTACCAGGTGGAGAAACACGAAGCGAGGCAATCGAACTTGAACAAGGTTTGTGCTTTGAGCATCTACCCAGGAATTGGCATCCATATGCTAGTGGTTGGCCTCATGACGAACTTCACCAAGGGCCAAAGCACATTAGCGCAACGAGTCTGGATTATGTGCTGGCTTGTTCTCGGCGCGTTTTATGGAATCGGCGTTATGGCAGTAAGACGGATACCGTTCGATACTACACGGGATATACCTAGATTGGTCTTGAGCGACGACGACCAACCACCTCAGACTGTTCAGACCAGCTATGTTAGCTTCAAAGATCGTATGTTTAGAAAGATGACCGGCCGACCCATTAAAATGCGTGGATTCCAAGAATCTGTATCTCCTGAGGATATAGCCAGGCACACGTACTGGGACCGCGCAAGTTTGGTCTTACTCTACGGTGCGCCTACTATAGGGGGTTTTGTCACCATCATCCAGATGATCAAACAGTACGGAGTGTGTTCAAAGATACTGGGTGTTGGTGTTTGATGGATGCTAGATGTGAGAGATGTCGGAGGTTAGTTCAGTCAAGCGTCAAGTACAGCGTATGGTTTTGCGTCGGCTCTATGGGAACGCTTCGGATCGGAGTTGAACAGCAAGCCAAGACAGCTTGGATTCTAGGGCGAAAGATGGTTGGGCGAAAGATGGTTAGAGAACAGCGAGTGATTTTCTTTCAAACGAATGGCATCTACCATTGGCATGATGCACTACTCCACTACTTTTTCCCTGCCCTTTCCCTTCTTCTTCTTCTTCTCCTTGCCCTCGCCCTCAGCCCCACTCTTCGCGTCACCCTTACCTTGACTCCCACCACCCATCAAGTCCTCCTCGAATTCCTCAAATACCCCCACAACATCCTCTTTCCCGGCCTCTCTCGCCAGGTCTTCAGCAGTCTTCCCGTCGGCATCTACCACGGCGATATTCGCTCCCTTGTTCAGAAGCAAGCGGACGATCTCATCGTGACCCAGCAGAGAAGCGATAGCCAGCGCAGTCTTACCTTGACGACCTTTGCTCTTATGGCATGCGCTAACCACACGGTTGATATCATTCTTGATCTCGTCGTCGTTCAAGTTGTCCAGAAGGGTCTCCATAGTCGCTGTTTCGCCGAGCTCGGCAGCGACATGGAGAGCGGTCAAACCGAAGTGTTCGTAGCGCATGCGCGCACCTCGTGCTAGCATGTCGTTCAGGTAGACCAACTCGACCTTCTTGCCGGCTTTGTGCAGCATGAGATTAAGCGCAACGCCTTCCTCGATCGTGCCGTGATTGAAATCGAAATTTTGGAGCGCTGCAAAGAGCTTGAGGGTGTGAATGCTCGGGTACTGGACAGCAACTTGTAACGGTAAGTATCCGGTGTCATCCCGTGTGTTCATTATCTGCTCATTCAGAAGCAATGCTGACATCGAGGGGATCTTGTTCATGAGCACACTGTTCAAGGCCGGGCGAAGACAGATTTGCCTACTCTTGATCATGTGTTGTATGACCCTATTATTCAGAACTTCCTCGAGCATGCGTGGCTCTTGTTGAGAGACTGTGCATTCGATGATGTGTTGTGCTTTTGCCAGTATGTTGGTGATAGTCAACATTGGTTTCAGCAAGCGGTGATCACCAGAGTCAATGATGAATTCTAACTCTGTCGTATCATCGCGCGGGAAGAAGCCGACCGGTGACTTTCGATTCAAGAAATTGATTGTTTGCGTGAGCAGTTCTTGGTGTCCTGTGTAGGATGCGTGCCGTAACATCATTTCAGCATCTCTCTTCTCTAGTGTCTTGACCCGTTCATCGTGAAATTCGAAGATTAACTTTTCTAGCTCTGCATTGGACGTTGTCGCGAACGTACAATGAAAGTCCGTGGTCGGCTTCCGGCTGGCAACAAGTATCTTGGCTATGTCGATGTGATTGTGCAGAATGGCAACATCGAGTGGCTCCAGTCCTTGGGCGTCTTCAGTCATAATGTAGTCTGCAATCAGAGATGGCGGGCCAGCTGCGCGCAAAAGCTCTGAGAGACCGAACATCGCGAAGAGATGGAGCGGTGTGGTGTTGTGTTTCTCAAGGTCGAAATACTGTGAAATGTCGTAATTCCAGGTCATGAACATGATCCACCACTTCTCTATGGTGTCGGAATTAGGGTTGAAGGTCCCCAAAATCAGGTTCATGAGGTCTGCCGAGGTGTCCAAAGAGAGCTTGACATGGTCAGCCCAGTGGCTCACAGCATATTTTAGCCTCGCGGAGATCTGCGACGTCCAGACAGACTGGTCATCGCCTTCTAGGTTTTCTATGCTGATGCTAGGCAGATCAGCGCTGATCATGTTTAGATAATGCCGAGCAAGCTTTCCATGGACAGTCGCGTTATCGTTGGACAGGGAGTTCGCTGGCCATACTTCTGAATGTATAAATTCGAGACAGTCAGTATCAACTAGTTCCGGGATCGGGAAAGACTTGAGAAGTGCCAGGATGGCAGATTGTTCACCCTCGGGGAAAATGGCGACAAACTGTTCGACAGTTGGCGGATAGACATGCGCAGCGAGAATCTGCTTTAGTTCATCAAACTTATCTTCGTCTTCGACACTGAAATTACGAAGTTGATCTGGTAGCGGATCCGAATGGTTTATAGGCACTGCTGAAGCGGCTTTGGTACGGTTCAGGTCGACGGTAGCATATCTTTCGTCACCAAGGGAAGCGCGAGCGGTGATAAGGACCTTGAAACTGGGTTTCGTCTGCGGACAGCCTTCGTATGGAAGTGGGCGATCTAGCAGCTCAAGAAGGAGAGTTCTGCTCTCTTTGTCGCATTCGTCTAAGCCATCTAGTACACAGTATGTCAAGCCTGCATCATCTTGCTTTGTAGCGCGTCGTAGGTAGGCCCACATAAGTCTTGCCTGGCTGAGATTAGCAGGCATGCAAAAGCTATCCTCGAAGAGATATTTGTGGAAATCATTCATCATGTCAGGCCGCTGTTGGATAAGCTGATACATCCAGCCCTTCAACACTGCACTGGCAGTGCTGCGTTTGGAGTCAGAACGGTGGCAGAAGAAGTAGAGAACCTGCGGCTTGACGTGACCTCTTGGTGACTGGTGATCAAGAAGTTGACCGACAACGAACAAAGCTGCCGACGTCCTGTTGATTTTGGGCCCTTCAGCTTCGAAGATCTGGAGTCTTAGCTGACCCTGATTAGGTGAAAGCCACTGGGTGAAGCTTGGGTCTTCTTTCATCCATTCGTAGTTGAGGTCGTGCCCCAGAGCGGCTTTGGAACGATCCAAGTAGCGAGATGAGTCGAAAGGTTTGAGGATGTTTGCGGTCGTCTCTATTGAAATCGGCTTGGGCTGAAGCATATAGGGACTGTTAAGACGTAAGCAGTTCTTGGGTATGAAATCCGGCTCCTCGACAGCGACCTCTAATGTCACATAACTATAGATAGTCCGTGCTGGGTTATATATAGCTCTTACCTTCTCTTAGATTAGTTAGGTAGACCTTATATATAATTTACATCTGTTTATACCTTATAGTTAGTAGCTATAACTTAAACAATCTTGTCTTTAGTCTTGCTATACAACCTAGCAGCGTAGTTAAGAACAGAACGCTCTAAGGTCTATCTTAAGCAGATAGTTCTATTACTGCTAGAGTTACTATCTATAACTATACCTTGCCTACAATACTATTAGCTTGTAGAAGATATTCTTAAGTAACTATTAAGTCTAGCAACCTATATTTCTTAGCGATATAAATAACACGCACACTACCTTTAACTATTACTAGCTCTAGCCTACGTTAAAACTTCTGTACTTATATAATATATTCTACTTGCGCCTATACTAGGCTTACTAGGTTATTACTAAAGGAGCTTTTAATAGCATCTTGCCTCTTAAAGAAATGCTGTACTACAACTAGTATATCTTTGTTACGTTTATAATCTCTAAGCCTACCTTCTACTAGAAGTTATACTCTTACTTTCTTAATTAGGCGTTGCCTTCTATAAGAACTATCTATCTACTCTGTTAGGCTCTAGTTGTTTCTATAAATAGCTATCTGCGCTTTCTATAGCAAGCCTAATCTTAAATAACTATTTCTAATAATACGCTACTTCTAACAAATTAACACGTTACTACTTATTCTTTCTGTATCTAGCGAGGTAATAGTGTATTAGAATATTTTTACTTTCTCTAAACTTATTACTAGGTTTAAGACTACTACTAATACTCTACTTAGTCTCTTTCTTCTAAATATATACCTAATTCTACTATTCTCTAATTAAACCTGTACGCACACTAATTCTCTACTACTACTACCTATACTAAGGTACAAGAGCTCTTCTACTACTACCTTTTTATAGTATAACTAACTATATATTACTCTGCCTTGCCTAAGCCTCTATACTAAAGTATTACGCTCTTAGGTAAGCCTGCTACGTAGCGCCTAGAACTACCTCTATGTTCTAAGGCCTACTAGTTCTAGCTTAAGTAGTAGTAGTCTACGCTTATAATATTATTGCCTTTACTAATAGCTCTCTCTAGCACTCTTCTCTTATCTCTCTCTCTATGCTTAAGACTATATAAGCTATTCTTAAGATTTATAGTACTCTAACCTCTTTTAAGAGTAGGTTATAATAAGGCGTAACTCTCTCTACTAAAGAAACTTGTTTTCTCTCTTCTCTACAACAGCCTTTACTAGAAGCTAACCTAGTACTTAGATACTCTTATACCTAGGTTACTACTACTAAAGAGTTATTCTCTTTACAAAAAAACGTGCTCTAAGAAATTACTACCTTCTAGACTAACACTATAGGCTTTTACGCCTTCTAAGTTTTTACTAACTAGAAATCTGCCTAATTATCTACTAGTTAGACACTATCTTAAGATCTAGTTAATTAGCTGCTACTCTTACGTACTTGTTTCTAGATCTCTACCTACTCTTGTACTACTATATAGGTATTATTAAACGCTGTTTTAGCTGCAGTTTCTCTATCTTATAGCTTGTTACTATATTCTAAGGTTCTCTCTAGTAGTTATCTAGCTATATCTACATAGTTATTACTTTCTTCTCTTACGCTCTTGCTTCTACTAGAATTAGCCTCTATTGCTACCTCTCTAAGTAGCTCTGCTCTTTTATATATATTCTTTGCTTCTACAAACTCTTTTATTAAGCTACTTCTATTGCTTTTCTATTAGAAGACCTCTTATATTAATAGTAATAAGTCTTAGAACTTGCTATTATTAACTCTGTTAAGATAAGCTTTATTACAGGTCTTACTTCTATAAAGAGATAATAGCTCTACTAAGTTAGTCGCTAAAACTATTATATAGAGGTAGAATAGTAACTTCTCTAAAGGTATTATAGCATCTATAGAGCTCTTAATAAAGTAATAATAGAAAAGATATAATAAGAGAGCCTAGCAGAATAAGAAGTAAAATATATCTAATAATCTAAAATACTCTAAGATCTCTATAGATTAGCGTCTCTAACCTAAAGATAAGGTAGTACCTGCTAACTCTCTTGCATTACAAGACGCTTTTCTAGTAAATCTTTACCTTATAAACTCTACTCTCTATACTACTATTGCGCTATAGCTTACTAGAGTCTCTACTGTATCTTAGACCTTAGGCCCTCTATAGCCTTCTCTACTACTAGGTCTAACTAACATAAGGCTATATATTCTACTTATATAGGTAGTAGACTATATAGAACTACGCTAGGATTCTCTACTACCTATATCTATCTATAACCTTAGGCTACACGCCTCTACCTATAGCTTAGGCACCTAGAACTCTAGCAACATATAGTATTTAGCTTAGAATTCTAGGCCTAACTTCTAGCAACTATCTAGAGTACCTCTGTAGTAACCTAAGCGTTTCTCTACTTAGTAAGAGTTTACTCTAAATAATAGTAACGCAAATACCTTAATTACTAAACGCCTTCTTAATCTAGTAGATATATTGCGAGGCTATTAGCTCTATGTGCTAACTAGGCAATCTTTCTATACAGTATATTATTCTACTAGAGAAGATTATAATAGCTATATTACAGGTAGAGTAGAGCTAGCGCAACTTTTAACTAACTAGGTACCTCTATAATAGCTTTATTACTAAGCTAACTACGCTAAATCTAGTAACTACCTTTACAATAATAGTTTTAAGTAAGACCTACAGCACTATTAGTCTTACTAGCCTACTTATAGTAAGAGCGCTAGGCTTATACGTAGCTATTAAACGTTTTCTTATAATAGTACCTATAGACTATACACGCTGTTATATTATTATTAGGTAGGCTAGGCTCTTACCTCTAAAGAGAATAAGATTACTAAAGATAATATAAGAGTTACTATAATAGAAGGCTCTCTGCGTTTCTATCTAGAGCGTATTAGCTACTTCTAGCCTAAGATACTAGAACATAAGTATCTAGATAAAACCTTTAAGATAGCTAGTAAGACTAACTTCTATAACGTCTAGAACTTTATTAACACTATAAAGATAGCTATTATATCTAGAATAGTAGCCGCGTATATAGTCTAATATAACCTCTAGCAGTGCTTTAAAGGTACTGCTGCCTAGTAGTACTTCTCTAACCTTAACCTTACCTACTATAAGAATATTATTAGAGGTAATAGAATTAACTAATAGAAAGTTAAGCTTATATATTTCTATATCTAGCTAGCTATTATAATAAGAAAGCTTTAGAAGAAGCGCCTTATACTCTAGAACCTTGTAAATAAACGCTCTCTCTCTAAATAGTTTCTGCAAGTTAAGCGTCTTGCTTAGAATGCTAGGTATAGAAATAAGAATAACTACTAATACGTTCTCTAAGTATAGAACCTGCTTAACGCCTAGATCTAGGTCTATCTTTAGAATAATATTAGTATAATAAGCTTTAATAAGTTTCTTCTTATAATCTAGAACTAAAAGCATATTCTTGTTAATATTTTCTACGTAGAATATAACTCTAGTAAGTAAGCTCTCTATTGTTGCTCTAAGAGTTAGAGTTATAGTAGCTTAGGTTATCTAATACGTAATATACCTAATTAGAAGCGTTACTAGTTGCGTAACTCTGCTCTACCTAGCTTAGGCCTCTACTTTAATAACTCTACTTGCTACAACTATAGTAGTACCTCTAATTAGAATGTACAGCGAAACGTAAACAACTCTTCTTAGATAAATAACTAGAGTAGCTAGTAAAGCACGTTTAAATTATAGAACTAGTAGTCTTATAGAGAAAGTTTTGCTCTAGTGTTCTAGGCAAATAATAGTACCTGCGTAAAGATCTAGTAGTCTAGTACAACGTTGCAGCTGTATAGCAAAGTGTAGAAAGTATACTATAACTATAACTCTACTTTTACCTAGAACGTACATCTTTTAGCTTTAGGCTACTTTGCTATACTAACACTACCTTCTCTTATATTATCTGCACTTACTCTGTTCTCTACGCTTAAGAAAATAACTACTACGTATAAGTACGTTTTGCTAGACTTCTGTCTTTCTATAGACTCTAGCTGTTTTACTACTAAGAATAGTTTTCTACTTAATAATAACTCTAATAATTGCAACTCTTCTAGCTAGGCTCTATAGAACAACAAGAACTTTATCTATATATAAGATTTTAATAAAGACGAAGACGCGTACTATATTCTACTCTTACTTACTTATTCTACTTAGCAGACTACTATAGAACTCTACTAGTTTTACTATTGCAAGTGTAGTATAGATCTAGTTTCTAATAACTAGTTGCACTTACATATTTAAAGCTACTACCTCTTAGACTCTAGTAATAACTGTTACCTTAGTGTCTATATAGTTACTATAGATACTAATCTATAGCTACCTCTAATTTTACTTATACTAATAAACTAGGTAGCTGTAGATTCTACTACGCTTACGCGCACTTAACTTGTAAAGTCTTTAGCTCTACCTCTAGTAGATAGAGGTCTTACTGTGCAAAACTAGTATTAAATAAAAATAACTATACGCTCTAGCTAAGAGGGCTCTAATCTAGAAGTATATCTAGATACTAGAGCTAGTATTACGCTTATAGACAAGTTCTTTATTTAAAAGAATTTCTCTAAAGCTATCTAGAAAGTTCTCTAGAAACTAATCTACTATACGCACGCTAGGCTAGAAAAGATAATAGTAATAGAGATTATCTATATTACGCTCTATATCTCTTCTTGTACTAACTCTAGTAAGCGAGTTCTTACACTATAGAAAGTTTAGGCATACATTATTAACTACCTTACGCCTAATATACTTCTTAGCATAGATACGCTAGTATTTTAATAGGTTATTCTTAATCTTAAAGCCTGTACTATGTAATAATCTTACTATAAGAGTATAACTACTCTACTATT